TTTATAAAAATGTTCTCCTCTGAAACAACTGGGCCAAATAGAATCAAACTTAGTCACAATCATCATTAGGGTATTCAGTTTAAAAAATTTGTCCGATGACCCTGCCTGCCAACAAAGATGGCCAACATGGCAAAAAATAGAACATATGGGGTAAAATGCAAGTTTTGTCTATAATAATTATTCTGATAACCGTTATAAAAAGAGGAAATCTGAAAAGGGTGAAATTGTTCAGAATGTTGAGCTCTACCAATTATCCATATACGTCAAAACTGTAAGACAATTTCCTGTAGGAGTTATTGCCCTTAAATGACAAATTTTACCACTTTTTTTCGATTATTGCCTATATCTTGAAAACTATAAAAGATAGAGAGAAACTTTAAATTGCAAAAATGATCAGAAGGACAAGTTCTACAAATAAGTCTTATGGTTGAAATAATCAATTAACTCCTTATTAGAGATATTTCCCTTTGATGCCGATTTGTACATTTTTTTTTGCGTTTTTGTCTTATATCTTAAAACTTATAATAGATAGAAAGAAACTTAAATATACAAAAATGTTCAGCAAGACAAGATCTACAATTAAGACTAATGGCAGAAATTGTCGGACGACTCCTTATTGGAGTTATTTCCCTTTAATTATGATTTTTACCATTTTTTTGGCGTTTTTCCTTGTATGATATTAATTATAATAGATAGATAGAAACTTAAATAATCAAAAATGATAAGCAAGATGAGACCTACTAACAAGTCAAATTTTGCTGATATAATAAGTAGACTTACTCTTTATAGGAGTTTTTTTACCCTCTTTTGTGTTTAGAGTAAAAGCTAAATAAGATCATAAAGATAGAGAGAAACTAAACAGACTTCAATGATCAGCAATATAAGATACAAAAAAAAAACAGATTTTTGTCATGAATTCTATTCTCGTCTACAATGTTGGGGAGTGTCCCCTGTTGAATATGCATATAGACCAAGGTGAGCGACACAGGCTCTTGAAGAATGAGGGGTAATGGGACACAGATTCTCCAAAATATTCAATTAAATAATGGTGGCTTCCATTAAATATTGGAAGAGATGACTACAAATTTACCAATAACATTTTTTTTTTCAAATGGCCTCCATGTAAGCATTAATCTTCTATAAAGGTAATCATGATAGGAAATACTTTTGAATATCATTTGTACAAGGAATATATTGGTAAAAAAAATTGAAAGATACATAAAAAAGGTCCCAAAAAGTGCCTAAAATCCCAAAGAGTTAAAAATTCCATATCAACCACTAACACCCCTCTCCTAAGAAAAAAACCAGATAAACAAGCAAAAAGAACAACAACAAACAATACATGGTCAAGATAGCCTGATATGTGTACAAAAGTTGGGGTTAAATCAATTTAATATGTGCACCAACTTGTCTATCTAGACCATATATGTCGTAGACCTGAATTTGAAACATACAAAAAAGACACTTGGGGCCTTTTATAGCTGACTATGCGCCGCATAGTATGCGGTATGTGTTTTGCTCATTGAGGAAGGCCGTATGAGGACCTATAGTAACTGTTGTTAACTTCTATGTTGTTTGGTCTCTGGAGTCTGGACGAGAGTTGTCTTATTGGCAATTATACCACATCTTATTTTAGTATTGTACAGTGCAAAGTTCGCAATTGAAATAATCTCCTTGTTGTTAAGTTATGATCTTAATTGTCAATTGTAAGTTTAGATATGAATAGAATTCAACCATAACTGGAATTGATTAATTGGCAGTTTTTATGTGATAGATGAAATCAACATAGTCACCAGACTGAAATTCAGTGAGTGGACATCATTATATCGAAATGTAATGTTAAAGAATAATGCAAGGTTCTATGCTGTCTTGTTTGAAAGATACTGTATGAGGTCTGAATCAATTAATGAGTGAGCAATTTGGTGAAAAGAGTAGCACATTTTGTTGCTACAGTCGTGTTGCTGTTGTAAGTACAGACGTAGTCAAATTTGGTAGGTCACATTCTAGGAAAAGAGGACTGTTTTGTGGTTATGATAATTGGAACACATCTGTAATCTGTGAAACCGATATTCCATAATGGTCAAGATATGAGGCATTCTTTGGATGTTTTAGATAAATTACGTGCCTTTGAGGGTCTTTTTGATTCTGTTGACAGTTCTGACTTTTCAACTCTTTACGCTACACTTCCACACAATCTTATCAAATGAAAGTTTTCCTATTTAATTAAATGGTCGTTTGGTAAATCTGAAGGCATATATATATATATATATGCTGCAACTCATTTAAAGCGTTCTTCTCTAATGAGAAAGGTAAATATGCTTGATATACTTACTGGAGGTGTAATGAGATGATTGGAGCTGTTAATTTTCTCTTTGATAATATTTATGTACGTTTCGGCAATAAAGTTTATTGACAGGTTGTAGGTATTCCTATGGGCGCCAATTGCGCGCCTTTAATAGGAGACTTGTTTAGTACTGTTATGAATCACAGTTTATGGCCAAACTTAGTAAAGACCCGTCTAAACTGCATTTAATTGATAACACTTATCGTTATCTTGATGATATTTTTTCGCTAAACAATCAAGAATTTTCTAAACATACTGCCGAAATTTACCCAAAGGAACTTAATTTAAATAAATCAAATATGAACGGTAATAACTGTCCTTTCTTAGATTTAGATATTTCAGTTTTACACGGGAAACGCTACACTAAAATATACGACAAAAGGGACGATTTTTCGTTCCCTATTGTTAATTTCCCTTTTTTGGAAGGGTGTTGTTCCTTTGGCACCATCTTACGGTGTTTATCTATCACAACTCGTTCGTCATGCCTATGTCTGCTGTGACGTTTTGGATTTCAATGAACGTAATCTATGTATTACTGGTAAATTATGAAGTCCAGGATTTCGTTACCACACATTACTTAAAACCTTTACTAAATTGTTCCATAGATATAAAGATTTGGTTTTGAAGTTTGGTTGTACCTGTAGAAAACTTATTTCAAACAGGATAGCACATCCTAATGTTTACGGAGATGTTGTTTACTGAGCCCGGAAATTTAGGAACGATCCGGGTAAACTTATCGATCCTTTAAATAAACTTATTCTAAAAGATAACCAATTCAACACTGTAGTTAGATCTTTAAATATTGTTTTTATTGGTATTAATATTGAATTTGTTATCAGTAAATTAAAATCAAACTAAATATTATTTTTATATACATATGCACATTCATGGCTCTACAATCTGTCGATACCTGTATCTTTGCATTGCACAAGGTCATGTTTTTCTCTGACTGTTAATGACGTCTTTACACTAAATTCATTGCATGTTGGGTGTGTACTGATTGATATTTTAGTCTTCACAGATGCATGATATTTATATTGTTATTGGCTTTGAACTAGCTGTCAGTAACTGTGAGTACTCTCATATATGTTCTTAGGGTCTTTTTGTTGTAGGGATGTATAAGTACCCTGCCACGTCCACTCTGTTTTTGTTATATGTATATTTGCTTTGTATCGATCCGATGAGTTAAGCCCTTTTCAACTGATTTTTATAGTTTGTTCTTATGTTGTACTGTTACACCACTGTCCCAAGTTAGGGGGAGGGTTGTCGCGCCTTCAAACTAGTTTAACCCCGCCACATTCTGTATGTGCCTGTCCCAAGTCAGGAGCCTGTAATTCAGTGCTTGTCGTTTGTTGCTGTATATCATATTTGTTTTTCGTTCATTATTTTGTACATAAATCAGGCCATTAGTTTTCTCGTTTGAATTGTTTTACATTTGTCATTTCGGGGCCTTTTATAGCTGACTATGCGGTATGGATTTTACTCATTGTTGAAGGCGGTACGGTGCCCTATAGTTGTTAATTTCTGTGTCATTTGGTCTCTTGTGGAGAGTTGTCTCATTGGCAATCAAACCACATATTCTTATTTTTATATTAAACATGCAAACTTAATTCTATATTTTTTTTCTGCTTCAAAATATGCCAAAAATTGGCTGGATCACAGCAATGACGATGTATAATTTAGTGGTGGTCGTTTGTTGTTGTATGTCATATTTGTTTTTCGTTTATTGTCTTGTACATGAATTAAGCTGTATCTTTTCTCCTTTTGAATTGTTTTTCTTTTTGTCGTGTTGGGACCTTTCATAGCTTGCTTTGTGGTATGGGCGTTGCTCTTTGTTGATGGTCCTACGGTGATCGTTAACATCTACGTCAGTTGGTCCATGGTGGATACTTGTTTTATTGGCAATCATACCACATCTTCTTATTTTTTATAAGGAAAAAAATTGGATGCATATGGTAATTTCATTTACGGCATACTTTTGTATACGTATAGAATGTTTCGTTACAAAATCTAGGAACGTTTTTGCAAATCAAAAATAAAACTTGTAATTGGTGCAAGTGCTCCCCTCTTATGAAAAGGAGTTCAATCCCGATGAATAAAGGTCTGCCAACTCGCCACACTTACAAAACAAAACAAAACAATAAAATCTTACTGCATTAAGGAATACCAACTCGCCCCATTTATGTAAAGGAGTTTGATCCCATTGAATGGAGGTCAGGGAACTCGCCCCACTAATGAAAAAAGAATCAAACCGTACTGAATTAAGGCCTACTAACTCTAACTTAAGAATTAAATGAAAACTGATGAAAACCTTAGAAATGCATCTTGTTTTTTTACTTCTTTGCTGAAGGATTTTGAAGCAGAAAAAAAAGTCAAGCATCATTTAATTTCAATCAGAATCATATATTAAATTTTCTATTTTTATTAGTATTACAAGAGAATTTTTTTCTATTGTAATTTTAGCAGTACAGTTTGGGAGATTGTATAGATTAAACTACTTTTCATAAGTGGGGCGATTTGGCAGGACTAAATTCATCGGATTTTACCCTTTTTCATACGTCGGGCGAGTTGGCAGGACTAAATGTAACAGGATTTAACCTTTTTTCATAGGAGGGGCGAGTTGGTAAACAAGAGTAGGGGGAGTTGGTTGAAAGTGGGGCGAGTTGGTGTGGGGCGATTTGGCAGTGGGTCGACTTCTTGCTTCCAAATATGAATACTAGTCCGTTTGATTGTTTTAAACGCAAATTGAGAATGCTGTTTAATGATTATGGTTGTATGAAACTGTTGAGGCAGGAAAAAAGACGCCACATCACATTAATTATTTTCTTTAGAAAGGTTTACCATACCAAAAGGATCAAACAACAATGTATAACAACAATGAAAAAGAACTGTTTTTCCCCTATATGAAAAAGCTAAATAGTATACACAGCAAAATCAATTAAACGACAAACATGTACTTGCATTACTTATGAAAAATGTTCATGCGCACGAATCATATATATATATACACTGTATGTACATTGTCGGGAAAATATTGTAACAAAACACGAAATCTTTGCCTATCAATAAATCTATGAACAGTACGGGAACCAATTAATAAGACTCGGTAAACAATGCCATGCGTAATTTGTCCCAAGCAGTTTCATCATCAGTCCACTCTATTACAGTCAAATGTTGTAAAATATTTTTTAATTCGCTTGGAATACAGGAAATGCTTTCATCTTTTGCAATCACTACAATTTTTTGCATGTAATTTGAACATTTTTCATATTCTATTCTTTCAATTTCATATTTGCTCCATGCATCATGTTGGTATATTTCCGAAATGATAAAAATAGCATGTTTGCTTTCAGCAGCAGCACTTGCTATTGCATCTGTTTTCGCCATTCCAACTGAAAAATCCCGATCTTCTAAGCAGACGGTCATATTCCAGGAACATTCGATTCGTGGAAGGAGAACTTCACGTGCCCATTGAATTTTGTCATCTGCATACGCTAAGTAAATGTCATATTTAAACTTTTTTTCCAACCGATGTTCTACCACTTTTCTGAAATTTATGTAAATCCAATACTTTATTTTCCATCGAAAGTTATATATAATGGCGAACGGTATAGTAAAAATGACAAATGAAGCTAAAAGTACAATTCCTATGCGCAACCATTTTTTGTTGTTGCATTCACCAAAATGATCATGAAAACGCTTATAGACAGACAACGTATTAGCTTCGGTACCATTTGTCAATATACAATTATATTTCTTTTTTTGCTGATCAAAAATAACTTTCGTTTGGAACAACCACTCAATAAAATTGGCCGTTTCGCAGGTACACTTTAAACTATTACCTTTTATAAACAGATAAAAGTTTTCACTTTCACTTTTTGCATCCAGCCAGGCCCTCACTGTTTCATCAATAGTCTGAATTCTATTATATCTGATATCCAATGTATTTAAGTGTGATAAGCTCATGACTGCATTAGGAATTGCTGATAATAAATTGTTGGCCATGTTTAGGTTCTTCAGTTTTGTATTGATTAAAAAAGAATCCTCGTTCAGATACCACAAGGTATTGTACGATATATCAAATTTTTCAACAGTTGGAAATAGTTTAAATATATTACCATTTTGTTTAATGGTTTCGTCAATTCGAGCATCTTTTAAAATTGCCGTTTCGACATTTTGAAAAATATGCACTGAAGATTTGTGTATGAAAAGCATAGAGTTGAATCCAGATAAGTCAAAATATTTGATATTGAAAGGTGTCACGGAATAAATTTCTGGAAATTTGGCAATTTTAAAATATGATAAATCTACGTATCTTAAGCTATCGGAATGCATAACAAACATATTCACCGCATACTCAATATAAGATGTCATATAATGTGAAAACGAAAAAATGTGAGATTATCAGGCAACGTAATCGTAGTGTTTGATCCATCGGCCATTTTAGAATATCCAAAGTTTTGATTTGAATTAGCATTTGAATATTGCTTAGGATCTGTAGATTGGACTTCACAGCCGTTGTTATATATTTCGTTTCTGTATGAATCATTTTTTAGAGCTTCTATATTGCAGTACTTTACATTGTTGAAGTTTACCGCATTATACGATATATCAAAGAATTTTAAATTTGTTGCTTTCTTAGCAAGTATTAAAAGTTCAACTAAATGACTGTTGGATGATAAAGAAAATCTGTTGCCTGAAAATACAATGTACTCCAAACATTGTGGATATTTAAACGCAAGTAAAGAATGTTGTGCATATCCAATTATGTCACTATGTGCTTATACTAAAGTATGAACACAGATTTCTATTAGGTACTTCACCATTTCACGAGTTATAAAAACAGGCTTTGCTGCAGAACCTTCGAGATGCTTAAAAATAATTGATTCCATTTCTTTTCCAGTAAACGGATATAAAAGTGTCAATGCATCTTCTAATTTGATGTTCACCAGATGCATTTTTAATTCCGTTAGTGCTGGGAAAGGTCTTAAAAAGTTAGGTTCCACAAACGATATAAACATATAACACTTATGAAAATAAATTGTTGTAATATTACTCGGTAAATAAATCCAAGTGTCATTCAACATTTGTTTTAAATAACATGTTTCAAATCTTATAGTATGAAGGTTTAACAACACTTCAAAACCACTTGAGTTGAAAATAGGTTTTTCAGCCAGGTCCATATATAAATCTATTAAGTTTAGCAAATCACCAAAAATGGATATTGTACTATAGTTTTGATGATCAGTTTGTCCATATTATTTCGTATGTCTAAATGATTCAGAGATGATAAAGGTTTAAATATACGTTTAAAGATCGTAGATGAAATATCAAATTTGTTGTGCTTCATAGAAAGCAATCTTAATTTGGTTAGACCCATAAATGTTTCTGGTTCCATTCTGTCAACATTGTTGTTATCAATATTTAATACGGTCATAGAAAGGAATCGATCAAAAGCATTTTTTTTAAGGGATGAAATATTGTTATAGTTTAGATCAAGCTCTGAAATGTTCACTGGTAAATCTGTAGGTATGTCTTGTAATCCAAGTCTTTTGCAATCTGCAATCACATGATTCCCTCGTTCATTTATACGACAAGTTTCGGAAAATCCGGATTGAAAAGACAAGAAAATCACAAATAATGGAAATGGATGAATCTTTTTCATGTTGACAAACAGGTATCTACTGTGATATATATCTTGAAAAATCAGTTGTTCTAAGTATGTTCAGTGCTCAATATGACTAGTTCTGTGGAAAACAAGTAATAGTACAATATCAAATATTGAATGTTTTTGAGTTTGGTGTATGTTTAAATATCAATAGCAGACTTACTAAAAACTTTAAAAGTTTACCCGACTAACCAAAGGAAGCCGTTTAGAACTATCAGCAAGATATATTTATAAATAGGATCAATTAATTGCCATTGAAGCTATTAATAAATATATAACATGCTGATAGTTCTTAACGGCTTCCTTTGGGGTTTAAAATAAAGTGTAAAGTTTGTGTCATCATGTTAATTGCACCTTCATACATACTTAGCTGGAGCTCTCGGATGTAATGTGATATACTAGACTGAGTCACATTGGTTTTATATGTGTTGGTCAGATCATGGAAGTAAAATGAGAAGGAATAACAACGATAAATTAGTATGTATTAATGACCTGCAGAGCTCTGCACTAAAGTCATATGATTTTATCCAATTATTGTCTCAGCGACAAGACACCTTTTGGTTACTATCTGTTATACCGCGGTTGTAAAATGGCATCTAGAATTTCTTATCAGTCACGTGATTTTATCGAGTACGGTAATTATAAAGCACCTGTGGGAAATCCCTAGTTCATTAATTACAAGGTGGCGCTGTATCATATAAAACTTCTACCTTCAGAAAGAAATCGAATGATGTAACAAACTTGAAAAACGGACGAGAATTGTTTAAACTACAACAGTTTAACATGGAAAATTGTACTTATTTTTGCATAATTTTGCTTTTTACTGTTTGTTTTAAACTGTTCTAAAAGTATTTTCCGATTGAAGGCGGAGGACGAGTAAAACAGGTAATAACGATGAAGCGTTCAGGTTTCACATAATGTTTAACAAAATAATGAGACAAATGTAGACATAGAATATTTTACTGTTGAAATGTGCCAAGTTTATCGAGATTTATAAAAAGGATATTTACTTTCAAGTATTTTAGGTTTATGTATTTTTAATAAATGTCATTGATTACATTATTGAAACTGGACAATTAAAATCGGGATAATAAGTTTGTAAAATATGTTAAATTTATATCTATTTAAAAAAGTGTTAACAATTGAATACTAGTATTAATATAACACGTTAAAGCAAAAAGAAAAACAACCAAACAAAATGAGCTTGACGCTATCATGGCTATCTTTTTAACCGCAAATATATTTTATATGAATTAGTTTATGTACAAATTAAAGAATAGGTTTAAAATTGTGAATATTTTAATTGACTGGTACACACGAAAGACTTTGATTATTCGTATATAAGAAAAGGGGGGTCGAAACATATTTTTTGTACAATCATCTTCTTAACTTTCATAAATGGTTCTTAACTATCTTTAAATATTAAAATTGAAAATGATCCACCCTTGTTTTTATAGTGATTACGATGATAACACAATGTTGACTTCTGTACCGCTATTTTTGACATTTTTACCTATTGTGTCTGTTTGTTTTGTTCACGCATCGTTGTCAATATAATTTGATGCTACTGTCATACAAGTGAGAGGTTTAGCTAGCTATAAAACCAGGTTCAATCCACCATTTTCTACATAAGAAAATGCCTGTTCCAAGTCAGGAATATGACAGTTGTTATCCATTCGTTTGATGTGTTTGAACTTTTGATTTCGCCAATTGATTGGGGACTTTCCTTTTTGAATTTTCCTCGGAGTTCAGTATTTTTGTGATTTTACTTTTCACCAATTTCATATGTGATAACTGTCGGCTTAAACTATCAAGATCGAAAAAGACATAAATAGGAAAAATAGACTAAAATCAACAGCGTACAGCAGCGGAATGTAATGAGTGAACCACGCGGCTTACTTCGTACGTATATACGACAACAACCGTCTGTTCGTAATTTTCCGTGAACACGAAAATGACCGAAAAGTGTCAGTGATTTGATTGATCACATGCCGAGAATCAATTATCATTCCATATCGTAAACTAATTAACGAGTAATCGGAAGATAGGCGGTAACGCAGATGAAACCTTTGAACTGGCGTTGTTGTTGTTCCTGTCAATATAATACTTCCATGGTCAGATGTTTGGAAGGAGTGAACAAAAAAGTCATTTATATTTCAGAAGCTCTTTTCTATGGTGCCTTTTCTATGGTTTAATGTTATTTATTTATTTACACTTTAATTTGATTGAAATTCTGTAAAAGTCTTTCATTTTGGCATTACTAGTATATGGCCAACATAAGCATTTTGAAGCCGTATCCATTTTAATGCTTAAATTGCATATTGAATTTTTATCTGGCAGGTTTTTATGTTTTGATATTTGTGTTTCTAGGCTTATGGTCCTAGTGAACGGCCTGTATGATGGTTCAACGGTGTATTGCTTGGTCTTCCAAGTGCTCCACGAAACCTCTATCTAAATTATTAACATCAATTCTATCAGCAATCAAAGCCGGGCTTCAAAGTTATTGTGAAACTACCTACTCTAAAGGTGGCGTGAATCAGATGTGGATACTAAATAATTCCAAAGATCTTTTAGAGTACATACAATCTAAAGCTCCTTCATCTTGCAATAGTATTAAAACATATAAAACTAAAAGACAAATTGAAAGAGTTGGTCCTGCTTTGTTTCATAAAAAAGAATGGCCAACGTAGATACAAGTCTTGTCTTAGGGAGGAATAAATCCTACTTTGTAAAAATTCACTTTGATTCTAACAAAAAATTCTGAAACTGTCATTATCAAGATGCTTGATTTCTTGATTGACAACATATTTGTTACGTTTGGAGGACGTGTTTTTAACAAACAATTGGCATTCCCATGGGAACTAACTGTGCCCCTCTACTTGCCGACTTGTACCTTTATTCATATGAGGCTGACGTCATACAGAACTTCTTAGGAAGAAAGAAAAGAAGTTAGCAGTATCCTTTAACTTTCCACTACAAAGATGATGTTCTCTCACTAAATAATTCAAAATTTTGTGACTATGTTGAACGCATCTATGCCATCGAACTTGAGACAAAGGAGTTAAGTCTGCCTCATATCTTGACTAACATCTAGGAATTGACAATGAGGGTCGGTTGAAAACAAAACTTATGACAAAATAGATGATTTCAGCTTCCCAATTGTGAACTTTCCATTTCTATGTAGCAACATTCCAGCAGCGCCTGCATACGGAGTATATATCTCCCAGTTGATACGATACTCCAGGGCTTGTATTTCCTATCATGATTTCCTTGATAGATGGTTGCTGCTCACAAGGAAGCTATTAAACCAAGAGTTCCAAGTGGCGAAGTTGAAATCATCCCTTCGTAAATATTACGGACGCCATCACGAGTTGGTTGACCGTTACGGAATATCCGTTTCACAGATGATAGCGGATATGTTCCTAATGTCGTAACTACAATCCCGTCCCCTTTTCCCGAATGTGACCTTCCGAATTAGACTTATTACCGGGATTGTACTAACATTAACAACACGACGGGTGCCACATGTGGAGCAGGATCTGCTTACCCTTCCGGAGCACCTGAGATCACCTCCAGTTTTTGGTGGGGTTCGTGTTGCTCAGTCTTTAGTTTTCTATGTTGTGTTTTGTGTACTATTGTTTGTCTGTTTGTCTGTTGGTCTTTTTCTTTTTTAGCCATGTTGGTATGTTGGTATTTTACCGGAGATACAGAACCATCTAATCTATATGTGTCAATAATATTGCGAACCGTATTGAGGGAAACACCACAGTATTTTGAAATAAATGCACAAGTATGGTTCCTAGATAAATACATGTCTAGAATAGTATTTCTTGTTACACCATTATTAGCCTTTTAAACTTACATAAAATCTTCCAAATGAATTTTACTTAATCATATTACATGCATTTTGAAGGAATATGTATTACTGTTTAGCTTTTTACATTGAGAGCCGTTATATTTGAGAACAGTTTTTTTTTATTTTGACAGTGACTGAATTTCTTTCTCAAATTGGGAAGGAATTCATACAATACTCGGATTATTTCGTTCAACATAAGTTCCTGAATGTCTCTTCTTTACGCTGTATTCAAATCCCGGATGACATTAATTACATTTTTGGAACTGTTTTAGCGTAAGGAGAAAAGAGACAAATTGAAAATGCCCTCATGGAATTAAAAGATGTCGCCTTAAACGAAAAAGAAACTTGTAAATTTGAACCTGAATCTTCAGCACTAAACAAAATTTCTGGAAAGCTTGAAGACAGACTATCACAGAAAAGGATAGAACTGGCAGAAAAAGAGCATCAACTTAGACAAATGGAAATGCCAATAGATGAACTGCCTAAACAAGGAAATTTAAATTATACGTAAATGGTCTTTTTTTGTAAGTATTATTCGTGCTCCTCAATCTATGATTTTCTGTGATTTTTTTTATCATGATTGCTCTTTTATTATGTTTTCTCTCTTTAGCTATCTTATCTATTCGGGTGAACACTAGATTCATTACGTATTAGTTTGTACGATATTCTTATCTCTGGTCATTGTGTATTGATTAGATTAAAAAAAACATTTCTTCAGTTTATAATGATCGTTCTTACAATATGGTGTATATGGAATAGTAATCTTGCAAACATTTATCAAACACCCCGTTTAATCGATATAAAAGATATTGGTTGTCACGATCAGTTATCTTTCTACAAATTGTATAAACTATCATGAATTAAAATATAATATATATATATTATAGCGATTTTACCTGACGATATCTGGATATGGGTACTTAGTCAAATCTTAACAGGAATAGTAATATTAAAAAAACCGACACGGATAAAAACAATAAACAAGGTCAAAATGTTCAAGCTTTAATATTTATTTGGGCAAGTTGATGCAACCATACGATCTGTATTGTTTCTGATACTGCCTGTAAGAAAAAATCCACCTGGATTTTATATGAATTTCAGACGGATTTTTTAGAGGGAATCCATATAAAAACCTCTTTCAACCTAGAATCTTTCTTACATGGATTCCCTGCGGATTCAGGGCGAAATAGGGCCGAAATATGCAAATTACTCGCTTGTTTTAG